CTTTTGGTCCTTATTTACACTTTCAGTTTCTCACACTAGAGAAACTATTCAGTATTTACACATGTGTGTCCTATTTATTTCACTTAAGAGTGTCGCCTCAGTATGCATCCATTTAGCTATGAATGTTTCTGGTTTCTCATTTTTTGTGGCTGAGTGGTGCTCCATTTTGTTAAAAAACACATTTTCTTTATCCAGTCTCCAGTCGATGGGCAATTGGACTGCTTCCAAGTTTTGGCTGTTACAAATTGTGCTGCTATGAACATGAGTGCACATATATCACCAACTGTCTCATAATATTTTCTAATTTAGCTGTCTGCGGTAGTGTGATGCTGACAATGCCTGGGTGTCTTGAGATTCTCAAGGGCAAAACCCATGGGGATCCCACCTATGCTGCCAGTTTGCTCAGTGGTTCCACCTCCCCTGGGAAGGACCTGTCAAAAAGTAGCTGCTCAGGGTTCTAAAAAGGATATGTGAGGTGTCTGTGTAAGGTCTCTGTGCCCCATTTCTGGAGACAACCCCAGATGAGGTCTCTGTGGGGACTACAGAGTTTCCTTGTGAGCTTTGTGGTCTCCTGGGAGCTTCTGTGTGAGGTCTCCACAGGAGGACTCTGTGGAGTGGGAGAGCTCTGTATGGGCTCTGTTGCGGTGTCTGTGTGGGAGCCATCTCTCTGTCAAGTCTCTGAGGGAAGCCCCTTGTGAAAGCTCTGTACTGGGTTTCTGTGTGATGGCCTGTGGGGCAGCACAGATCCCTGTGAGAAGTCCGTGTGCAGGCTCTGTGGAGGGTGTGGGCTCGTGGGGCAGTGGGAAGGCTGTGTCCCATGAGGTCTCTGACAGAGGTTCCTGATTTTGAGCTCTATTGAGCAATGTGATGTCTCTGCTCAAGCTCTGTGGGAGTCTCTACCAAGGGCTGAGTTAGGTCTCTGTGGAAAGTGTAAGCATGGTGTCTGTGGGAGGGCTCTGCAACATGTCTGTGGAGTCTGAGGGTTCTCTGTGAGGTTTCTGCAATGATTGAGAACAACCTGAAGAATCTGTGGGGTCTCTGGGGAGTGGGGGGTCTTTGTGTGCTGACTGACTGAGAGGTCTCTGTGCTGACCAAGAGGACTCTTTGGAGGAGGGTCTCTGTCCCTGTTCCCCTTGTCTGGATAACCTTCACTTGGTGTAGGATGCTGTGCCCCAGGATTGAGGCCCCCCGGCTGTGCCTGTGGCTGCCCAGTGTGCCACACACCACAGGAAATGCTTTCTGGAGAAGGGGCTGCTCCTCTCCCTGCCACTTGAGCTCCTCTGCTTTTCCATGAGGACCAGGGCCCATTGGAAAGGAAACATATGCTAGAAACTGAGTGCTCTCCTCCTGGACTGGCCCAGCCCCCAGGGATTTGGACAGGTCACTTCCAGCCTCCTTGTGGCACAAACCCTGTGTGACCACCTCTTCCCCTGTGGGCTCCCCACTAAGCAAGGGCTGGGAGCCAGGCAAGACTTGCTGTGTGACTCCTGAGCAGGCTCTGGACCCTTCTGAGTCCCTCCTCTCCTCTAGGGACAGGCTCGGGGCTGCATACACATGTACAGGTCACCAGACTTTGAGTCACATCTCAGGTTCCCTTGTCCTGTGTTCTCCACCATTGTCAGTTCATCCTTTCTGCAAGAGGTGAGCATATACCAGTTACCCAATGTATTGATAAGAAATCGATCTTTGCTAACATGCTCTGCTCCCTCTCAAATCTGGCCCTCTGTGTGGGAGCTGAAGGTGGCTTCTCTGGGTCTGGGATCTGGAGCAGGTAGGGCCCTGTGACAGGGCCAGGGTGAGCCACTTGGCCCCTAATGTCGCCTCCTGTCTGCTGGTGGATGACAGCGGAACCTTGGGAGCGCCCCATTCCCTTCACCATCCTTGTGCCACTCTGCTTCCTGCCTGGCTCCAGCATTTTCAATTCTCATTCCACATCTCCCTGTTCCCGGTGACTGTCCATGAGTTACTGTGCTGGCACAGCCCTGGTGCCTCCACCCAGAACCACTAACTGGAGTCACAAGATGCACCAGGATAAATGAGCTGTGAGCAGGACCATCTGTTCACCCATGAGGAGGGCCCCCCACCACTGCTAGCCACGCCCCCTCCCCCCCAGCTGGATTTTCTGTCCTCACTGCTGCTCTAGTGTGAGGAGGGCCAAGGCCCTGGGATGGGCATTCTGAACTTTCCATCTCAGCTGAACCCAGAAGGGTCCTCTCTATCCAGGCCTTTGCCAGGGAGAGGAGGGGCTTCCCAAGGGTGGACATCATCTGTCCCCCACCAGGAGATCAAGGGCAAGATTTCTCCCACTTCTGAACTCAGGGCCCAGCATCCTCACGTGCAAACTGCCACCCATTTTGGGAGCAGTGGAGCTATGTGGCTCTGACCCTTGTGGAACCTATGGGGGAATTTTCAGCTTAAAATGTCTCTGTGTCCCTGGTCCTACCACTGCCATAAGGTAGGGGAGCAGGGAGCAGTGGAAAGATGGGTTGAACCAGATCCTGGGGTTGGAGGATTGTCACTGGTTTTCCCCAGCTTGTTTTTAGAGTTTTTGTTCCTGTAATGATGGAAGCAAGGATCAGTGAAGGAAATAAGGATGAAGGTGGGCTTGTACCCCCGTCACCTCCACTACACTGCTCCCTTCTAGACACCAGAGCCCACACCAAGCACAGAGCAGACAGAAGCCATTTCTCTTAGGAGGAAACATCGGTGTTTTGGGTTACAGTAAATATCTTGGATGCATAACATGAGAAAAATCATTTTCCTCTATATAGATTATTTTTTTCTTGGACATATGTTTTCCTACTAAGACAACCTGGAGAGAAATTTCCCTGTTGTCCAGTCAAGACACCTCTCTGAAGAATACTATGCCTTGAACAGTAATATTGTTGGCCTGGTGCCCTGGACACTGTTGGGCCACACTGGGAGGGGCTGACTGGGGACACAGCCTTGATGGGGAAGGAGGGGTGGGGATGCCTCTGGCCCTGCTGCTCACTGTTGAGCTGTCCAGTTTCAGGCACACTGTGGAAAGGGTGAGGGTGCAGCCTTTGTTGACTTAAAGATGTTTACAACCTTGAGGAGCTTGAGGGGGAGGCTCCACCTGTGCCACACCTTAAGCCTTGTACTGTGCATCTCCAGGTCCTGCAGAGTGTGTGGATTGGGGAAAAACTTCTGGATAGTGCTCACACAGGTTTTCTGACTCCTGGAGGATGCTGGATTTCTGGTTTTCTTGGGGGTGTGAGTCGTGGAAAAGACACCGTTTACAATGAGCCAGGACCGGCGCACTCTCAGAGGGATCAGCCCCTCACGGATCTGCCACATCTTCACATCCAAATGTGGTTTCAGCATGACTTCTAGACATGTCTTATCTCTGCTTCCGAATGAGTCATTTCTTGTGTCACTGTCTATGGGCCACATCAGGTTTCTCTCTGACTCCTCAGAGACTGTCTCCAGAATCTTCACTGGGGGAGCTTCCTAGGTCCCTGGAGAGATCTTTGGGTACCTTGCATAGAATATGCCCCAAATTCTTGCCTGAGTCCCTCATTAGCTGGAACTTCATCTTCTGCACATCCTTGCTGCATTCATCTGTAGGCACAGATGACTGTGAGAGCCCGGGTTTGTCCTTTACCTGAGGTGAATGAGCTAAGTCACACTGAGGCTGTGTGAGTTCTTGAGACTCCTGGATCCTGCAGGGCAGGTCCCACTGGTGATGAATGTGCCACTTTCAAATGTGTTGCTCTAGTTTTTCCCAGTCCTCAGAGCTGATTGAAAAATTCTCATGAAGAGTGGTAGCAGCACCCTTGCCTTGGCAAAGGTTGGGAGTGGAGGGAAAGTAACCCTTCTGAGGGCTTTGGACTGCTGAGGGAACAGTCCGCCCATGTTCTAGGTGTTTCTTTGACAAGGGCCTTCCTGGGTGTTGAATTTCATCTGAGATGAGTGACTGTGGGTTATGGGATGTAGAACAGGATGCTCCACAGCCCCTATTGAGGAGCAGAGAAGGTGCTAACAGGATGGGGGGAGAGGATTGCAGGTGGGTCCAAGTCTGGGCCTGACCCAGAGCTGGGGCCTGGGATTGGGGCTCCAGACAGGATGGGGCCTGGGCCAGGGAAAGCAGCAGGGACATTTGATCCTGTGTGTGAACTGGGCAAACAGGTGAGGTTCTGTTGAATAAGAAGGTGGGAAGGTGTGGAACGGGAGGGTTCTGAGAGACCCAGGCAGCAGCTGTTATGGATTCACTGTGCAGAGAGGGCAGACCCCAGAAAAGCTGGGTCCATTTCTGCCAAAAGTAGGTCCCCAGGATCTTGGGATATGAGAGTTGCTGAGGACCGAGCTGCCGTTCTGGCTTCTCTTTTGTGTCCCACCAGGGTTGCGGGGTTGTGGCAGGATCTGGGGGACATGGTGGGGAAAGGGAAAGTGCAAGTGGCCGGGGTGAAAGTCTTCCCAGGGGAAGCAGGTGCTCTGGGGTTTGAGAGTTGGTAAAGGGTGTGGGTGAACACACAAAATCGGAGGAGGTTGCTGATGGGCCTGGTGATGGAGAGGAGGCCGGAGGAGAAAGGTGCAGAATGAGAGGAGAGGGGGCAGCCTCTACCAGGGAAGGAGCAGAAGGGTCTGCTTTCTCCCCATCTGGCTGTGGGGCCATGACAGGTGTTCTTGTACACACATCAGCAGGGTGGTGTTAGTATACAGGCTGTTGAGAGCATCCTAGGCCAGGGAACAGCCTCTGCAAGCTGTAATAAATAGGAGTTGTAACTGTAGCTAGGGGCTGGGGTGAGCTCAGTTGGGCCCTGGCCCTTCCACTGCCCCATACCCCAACTCTAGTTTTCCTACTACTCCTCACCCCAGGGTCTTAACATCCCCCACTCCCAGGATCTTCCCCTCCCAGGTTACACCAGTGCTGCTTTGTGACATCACAGGTTTTAGAAGGAAAGAAGAAAGGACAAAGTTCTTTACCTTTTCAAAAGGGAAATTAGCTTCTTATCCAACTTCCGGTAAATCTGGTAGTCTGCAAAAGGTGGGAAGTGGGAAACTGGGTTATAAAGGATGAAGGGTAAGGGAGGGATTGGGATTTTACAGAAGGCTGAAGAGAATGTCCCCTTAGAGGACACCATTGGAGGTCTGACTCCAGAGCCCAAGCATTGGTGTCCAATGCCCTCTGGCCCTGGCTGACAGTGGTTACATAGTACACAGATGGGCAGCACTTTATCAGTACAAAGTGCTTCCACATCCTTCAACATCCACGGTCCTCACAACTATGCTGTGCTGGATGGATGGGGTCATCTCACAAAGGAATCAGCCTCTGCCAATTTTAACAGCTGGGCCTCAGTTGGACTTGGAGGTCCCATTTCCAAATCCAGGTTGTACTGCTCCTCTGCTGCCTGCACTGCCCCCTACTGAACAAAACCCTTCTTCCCAGCTCAGCTTCATTCTGAGCAGGGAGCCTAAGAAGCATCCCCCCTGCTGACTGCCATTCCTGGAGCCCCTCCCTCAGGGCTCTGCAGCTGACAACCTTGGAGCCCCAGTGTTGGCCCCTGAGGGGTAAGCAAGGTCATGTTAATTCTGGGACTGCAGGACTGAAAGGCAGAGCCTTACCTAGGTGAGCACCTGTCCTCTTCCTACTCCTGCGCTTCCACCTCATCAGCACTGGATGCTGAGAAAGAAGGAAAACAGTGAGAGGCCCAGGTTGGATTCTCCTGTCTCAGTCAAGCTGCAGACATTCAGTACTCACGAATATTATGCTACTCAACAATGAATTAAGGAACCTGTGTTTTTTCTTTCCTTTTACTCATTTTTTAAATTACAGTATTTTTTTCTGTCCTTCTTGTAGAAACACAGCAACTTTCTAACATGAGATCCCGTATAAGAACTCACTTCTACACATGCATCTCACCTGCTAGAGACCAGAGGCAGCTGTAGCCCGGGATGGGGCTGGACTCAGGCCCTCAGCATAGCCTGATTCAGCCCAACACAGAGCAAAGGCTGGGCCCTGAGACACCTGCCATGAGACTGGGACAATGAACCAGTGCTCAGGGCCTGGCCCTCCCCAAAGATCCCCAACTCTCAGGAATCCAGTCCTCATCCACTGAGTTACTGTGTTCTCCTTTACTCTGGCCAGCAAACTACCCAGAGATCTGAGATTGCCAGACAGATGTCCTGGGGCCCACTTCCCCTGTCCTGCCCTGCCTGTCCCAGAGGAAGGATATTGTGTTCTTTTCTAAGTTTTCCCTCTCACCAATCTGTCTACTTGACTCGGAAAAGTGGAAACTGTGGTAAAAGGAGAGAGAATCATTCTCTGCTGGCTCTGGGCTGAGAGTTTCTTACCTTTCTGAGGTTTCTAGTTTTCCTCCCTGGCTGTAAGGTTGATTTACCCTGGAGCCAGGGCAGTAACAAAAGGAAGAGCCCCACTCCACCCACAAAGGTGAGGATCATATCCATCGCAAAGGTAGTGTGGCTGGGGCTCAGCCATGTGGCAATAAGGCTTTTCAGAGGAACGAGAAGATTCTCCATTATCTGAATCACAGTGTAGCTCTCAGGCAACTGAGCCCTGAGAGTTCTCTCCAGGGGTAGGGAGGAGGGCCCAGGCCTGCATCACAGAGCTGAGTCCTCCTCATCACAAAGGGCTCCTGGGGTGGGGGAGGGGTGAGGAGAAGAGGCTCAGCCACAGCCCCGCCCCTCCCCAGGCTCCAGGACAGTGGGTGCTGCAGCCTCCTGGGCCTTCGGGACCCCTCCTTCTGCCTCCACCTCCCCAACCTATCAGAGATAGACCATAGTCTATTTTCTATTTGTTCCTCCTGGAACACAGGTATTACCTGGCTCTTTTATCCAGTCGAGATCCTGGCTGATGCTAACACATCAATGATATTTTTAAAAGTTCATAACATTTATAATTCTTAAACTGCACAAAGTGGTCTTAAGAATCACCATATGCATACACACAGAGAGATACATATAATCCCTATATCCTTTCACAAGCCAATCTAATATTTTTAATAAAACAATGTAATATTCAGTTCCATCATTTTCTCATTAGTATCAGGAAAAGGCCAAACAAAACTACAATGAGATACTATCTCACCCTAGTTTAAATGGCTATAGTTATTTCTTTTAAAAAATGCTAACAACGATGTGGAGAAGGGAAACTCTCATACAGCACTGATGGGAACGTGAATTAGTGCAGGCATTGTGGAGAGCAGCATGGAGGTTCCTCATAAAACTAAAAATAGGTTTACTATGTGATCCAGGTATTCCACTTCTAGGAATATATCCAAAGGAGATGCAGTCAGCACACCAAAGGGATATCTGTGTGCCCATGTTTATCCAGCACTACCCACAATAGCTAAGATGTTAAATCATCCTAGGTGCTCATCAACTGATGAATGGAAAAAGTGAGGAATACGTACACTATTCAGGTATAAAGAAGAATGAGACCCTGTTGTTTGCACCAAGGATGGAGCTGACGGTTATGTTACATGAAATAAGGCAGATGCAGAAAGACAAGTACTACTAAGTTCTCTCTCATATGGAAGTTTAAGAAAAGTGAACCTGAATGTAGGGGCGTGGTTGTTAGAGGTTGAAAAGGGGTAAGTGGATGAAAAGAATGTAAGAATGTGGATGTGATCAGTGAGTGCTGTATATGTGCATTGAAACACCACCCTGAACCCTGTTAATATGTACAATTAATATTTTTAATAAAAGAACTTTGAGTCTTACAAAAAAAAAAGATAATATTGTACAAGAAAGGGAAAAATCAGGTTTACCTGCAGATGATATGATCTCATAGAAGACTCAAAAATTCTACTAAAAGATTTCTACAGTTAATAACTAAATTTAGCAAGGTAGCAGAATATAAAATCAACTTGCAAACATCAAGAATATTCCTGTACAACAATAATGAACTTGCTGAGAAAGAAATTAGGAAAACAATACTATTCTCAATAGCATCAAGAAAAATTAAATACTTAAGAATTAACCTAAGGAGATGAAAGATATCTACAGCCAAAATTATAGAGCTTTGATAAAGGAAATCAAAGAGGATATCAGAAAATGGAAAGATATCCCCTGTTCCTGCATAAGCAGAACCAATATTGTTAAAAAGGCTGTATTACTAAAACTGATGTAAAATGCAATCTTAATCAAAAAATCAATAGTGTTTCTCACATAACTGGAAAAAATGATCCTAAAATTCATATGGAACAAGAAGAGACCAAGAATGGCAAAAGCAATTCTAGAGCAAAGCAAGAGGGATCATAATATGTGACTTCAAGTTATATTACAAAATTACAGTGATTAAAAACAGTATAATTTTGGCACAAAAATAGACATGTGGATCAATGGAACAGAATAGAGGATGTAGAAACAATGCCAGACACATTCAGTCAGCTGATCTTTGACAAAGGGGCCAAAAACATATGCTAGAGGAAAGGTAGATTATTTAGTAAATGGTGCTGGGTAAACTGGCTGCCTGCATGCAGATGTTTGAAGCTAGACCCATATCTCTCACCATGCATTAAATTTAAATAAAAATGAATTAAAGATCTAAATATTAAAACAGAAACATTTAACTTGCTGAAAGGTAAGGTAGATAAAACTCTTGAAATCATAGCCATAGGCAAGGACTTTCTGAATAGAACTCCAATTGCACAAGAAATAACATTAAGAGTCAACAAATGGGATTATATCAAACTAAAGTTTCTGCACAGTAAAGGAGACCACCAACAAAGTGAAGAAACAACTTACAAAATGGGAAAAAATTTTTACCATTATACCTTGGACAGAAGACTGATATCTAGAATATATAAAGAACTAAAAAAATTAGAGCCCCCCAAAATAAAAGAATCAATTAAAAATAGGCTACTGAAATGAATAGATATTTCTCAGAAGAAGAAACACAAATGACCAATAAATATCTGGAAAAAATGTTCAAAATCTCTGTGCTATTAGAGAAATGCAAATTAAAATAATAATGAGATTTCATCTTACCCCAAAAATGATGTCAATAGTCAAAAAATCAAGTAATAACAAATGCTGGCAAGGCAGGAATGAAAAAAGGAACTCTCCTACATTGCTGGTGGGAATGTAAACTAGTACACCCATTATTGAAATCAGCATGGAGGTTCCTCAATAAAACTAAAAATAGAAATTCCATTTACCCACCTATTCCCCTACTAGGCATCTTGTCAAAAGAGTTAAAGATATCATATTATAGTGATATATGCATACCCATGTTTACAGCAGCACAATTCATAATAGCTAAATCTTGGAAGCAACTTGCATGTCTATCAGCTGACAAATGGATGAAGAACAGGTTGTCAATACATGATGGAATACTACTCAGTTATAAAGAAGGATAAACTCGACTCATTTGTAGGAAAATAGATGCACTTTGAAGACACAGTATAAAATGAAATAAATCAGCCACACAAGCTTAAATACCATATGGTTTCCCTCATATGAGAAATCCAAAGCATAAATACAGTAAAAATTAAAATAAAAGGTAAAAGGTAAAGATGGGGAAATAGATCTTCTGCAAGTAGAAAGGGGCCAAAAGATGGAGGGTGGGGGGAAGGGAAAGGGACATGAAGAGAACTAAGACACATCATGCACAGCACCAACTACTCACAATGAATGTAATCCTTATGTGTCACAAACATGAACTGAAAAATGAAAATGGAGGAAGAGGATCTAGAGATGGAGGAAGGAGGAGGGGGAAAGGGAAATAAAGAGAATCAAGGTATATTAGGTATATGTACCCACTCCCTAAGATAACATTCATGTTTACATAAAGATTATGTACTATAAACGTATTAATACAAAAAAAATTTAAGATAGTTCGTGAACTTGTTCCCTGTTGAACATAACATTGCTAAAATAAAAAAAAATTATCACTTTAGAAGGCAGATAGCTCCATGGATGCTAACAGGCTTGCAGGTTTTAATAGAAAAGAGATTTAATCTTTTTGAAAAATGGACAGAATAGATAACCCAAGGTAGGAATTGAGAGGAAAAATTAACTGTTATGATAGCTAATTAAAGATATTTTTACTTATTCATTTATTTCTATCTTTTCATTTCATTTCTATCCTTTCACTTTTATTCACTCATAATTTTAATATCCAGAAGAGACTTGAGGCCTTTTCCAGAGACAAGTTTACCACTCATGACCTCTTAGGTCCACTTTAAAACAGTCCTTGGCGTTATATGATCACTGTGGCACACAAAGCCTTCCTATGCAGGTTCCAGAAAGGCACTGTGCTGAAGAATGCTGAGGGGTGCAGCAGCAGGTACAGGCCTGTGAGGACTACTGATTTTCTGCCCACAGTCAGATGATTTAGCAAACACCTCTAGTAACTCAATGCTGGTTATATGGAGACCACATATTTTTAAGATAGTACTCCAAATTAATGTTAATTAGAAAATATATAGTAATAAATGTTGATCTCTTACCACACTCTCAAAACAGTCCTTTCTTTCAGTACTGATTATTGAATCCAGGGCCTCATACATGCTAAGCAAGCACTATACCACTAAGCTACATCCATAACCCTTTTACGTTTTCATTTTATTTTGAAACAGAGGTCTGCTAAATTGTGATCCTCCTGCTTTAGCTTCTGAACAGCTGGAATGACAGGTGTGCACCACTACAAAATGTAGGTATTTCAGCAAAACATAGATATTTCAAAGTGGGGGGCAGAGCTAGAGGAGATCCCAAGGGTTTAAAGACATAATATGTAGTGACAATCTAGACTAGGGAGTTTTCACTCTTTGCTAAATAATCTACATTAACAAGGGATTCAAACTTCCACATCATTTATTTAAAAAAAAAAGGAAAGGGGGATGGATCAGAGCTGGTGCTGTAGTTAAATGTTTCTGATGTGATTCAGACAGTTTTAAAGGAAGAATTTATACAACATGGTTAATGAAAACACATAATTTGCTTTCATACTACTGAACCTAATGCCTGTAGAAAGCAATGGTTAAGCTTCAAGGAATGCTATAGTTTAAGTGCTGTTTCCCTCAGAGGTAGACCTTCCCTGTCCTTTTCCAAATGGAATGTAGGGGCTCCCTAGGCTGAGGTGGCAGGGCAGTTAATAGCAGTGATATGGTCATCTTTCCTGAGAAGTTGATGATGTACCCTGGCCAAACAGAAAGGGTGATTCTAAGAATGACAGGAAAGGGATGTATAGGAAATGGAGCCTGGGGCCGGAGTGTAGCACATTTCTGTGGCAGACCCTTCAGCGACAACCACAGCCAATGTCATGATGTGTAAGGAACAGAAGTCAGCTGACTCTGCTGACTTTCCATGGAAGCATCCCTGGGAGGTCAGAGACCAGTAACAAGAATCATCGGAGGGTCAACAAGATTTTGGTTAATAATGCACATTTAGAAATTAGTATTAATGAGTCCAGGGATGAAGCTCAGTGATAGAGCACTGTTTGTCTAGCATGCCTGAGGCCATGGGATCAATTACAAGTACCACACAAAAAAATGGGGTAACATTAATAATGTAATTTTTATATAGTTTGTAAATAACTAAGGGATAAAGAAAGAG